TGTAAATCTGATGGAGCATGTTTATTAGAAACATAGACCTGGCTTGCTTCTAAGCTGCTCTGTTTAAACTTTTTTAAGTTTTCTGCTACTATCTCACCCAGTAAACACCCGGCGTTGTTTTTGTGATGTTACAGAAGAGAAAGTTAGAGTGGCTTGTGGTGCTGAGGTAAAACAGGGGCTCTGCATGTAGATGCTATTGGTTCTCACCACATTCGTGAGGACCTCAGCGCCTCTGTTGCTCATCTCTCTCTGCCCATTTCCTGTCTAAAGCTCTGTGATTAAAGGCCACCAGAGCCACAAAGTTTTAAATAAAAACAAAACATAAAAAAAACAAAACAAATGAAAGTCGGAGAAAAGCTAACTCGTTGCTGCCAGCATAAATTACACAATTTCTTTTTGTGCAAACTTCACATTTTATGGGAGAGCAACATGAGAAAATGAGGACACCATAAGTGTTTTTATTTATTTATTCTATGTACATATATTTGGACACATGGATATTTAATACCCATTTCAGCAATACTGAGAGGTTAAAGTTTTTTTTTTTTATGATCATCAAAAACTGAACAAATATTCTTTTAAAGTTTTCCAAAGAATGTAATAAATGTATTTTCTTGTGATGAATAAATGTGAAGACCCTGACATTTACATCAATTTTAAAAGTTTAAAATTTCCTGCAAACGTATCACATTTTGTGTCCATGGTTAGGACATTTCTTTATGCCTGGTTAGGGATTTACTGCTTTTGATATGAAAGTACAAATAGAATTTACAAGCCCAATTTTCATGGTACGCATGGAAGAAGGAACTCTTTGTTCTGAAATAAAGAGATGATAGCCACACTGACGTTTCCCTGAAAGAGCCTAGACAAAGGCCAGGACGAGGGCAGCTAGCATCTCTGCAGATCCCAAACATCCTTGAGACAAATTGTTTAAACTTTTACCTCCAGGTCAGCGTACAAAGAGCTGCTGGCAAACACCAGCAGCCACAGAGACGGTTTCCTCCCTCAGACTGTCTCTGATGAACACAATCGACACCTTGTAGTCGGAGTATGCAGCTAGTAGATAGTGAAAACATAAGCATATTTGGATTGTAGCAATTCTCCTTTTTTATATAAATAAACAAGGCAGGCAATATATGCACATATCCTTATTTCATTTAATGTAAATTTAATATATTTACTTTGTGTGCGGTTAGAATTTGAAAACTACAGTCAGATTTATTGTTTCTGCACATAACCTCAGCCAGTAAAGGTTATTCTGATTTGCGAAGTAATGATCTCAGGACAACTGGTTGTGACATTTAATTGTTAAAACATCCAGATTGAGGACATGCTGTTAGTAAACCAGATGCAGCACTCCAGGAAAAATGGTTTGGGGGAAAAAGAACACATCAACGCATCTAATGTCTGTTGTCGCTTCTAGCTATTGTATGTCACACATTTTTCCCCCATCAAGTTTTCTTTAAAGAAAACTTTAAAGACAGAGTTGCAGATGACCAGCCTGATAGTGGCTAGCCTATCCAATGCTAATGCTAGCCTACCCTTGCTAAGGGAAGATGGAGGAAGAAGTCAATCCAGTACTTGAAATAGGCACTGTATGCCTTGGTTGGTCGCCCTAGGAACATGATAGCATCTAGCTAGCAACTGGTATGTTTCTTGGCATGCTAGCTGCTAATGTGTTAAATAAAAAAACGGCAGAAAAACAAATGAAAGTCAGAGAAAAGCTAACTCATTGCTGCCAACGAGTTAGCTTTTATGGATAGTGATTTTCATTATCCATGCTAATGAAAAGCAGAGGAAGATGGCAATACAGTGATTGACCACCCTAGATATGTTAGTCATTAGCCTCTCTAGTCGAGGCATGCTAGTTGCTAACCTATTCAATGCTAATGCTAGCCTATCCATGCTCATGTACAGTAGAGAAAGTAGGAAGTTCAATGGGTGACCAGCCTAGACATGCTTGTCATCAGCCTCTCTAGGCTAGACATGCTAGTTGCTAGCCCATCCAATGCTAATGCTAGCCTATTTGTGCTCATGTACAGCATAGGGAAAAGTCATCCCAATGGGTAAGCAGCTTAGATATGCTAGTCAACAGCCTCTACAAAGCAAAAGCAAGTGATTAGTCTAATTTTCATTTGTCAGTAATGGCCACATTACTCACAATGTGACCATTGTGAGTAAGGTTCAGATGATGGCTTCATCATCTGAATGAACCATGATTGATGAAGCCAGTCATCAATCAGATCAATAGCTAGCTTCAGAATGGATATAGTAAGGAAGTGGCCACCACTAATTCCAAATTAACACTAAATTTGTGAATTTTGGCACTAATACTGTGCCATAAAAATCTACCAGGTACCAGAAGGTGCTTTATAAAAACATGAGACTGTAGAAATATAAAACCTGAAGCTGAACTGGACCTTCCAACATAACAAGGACTCAAACATCCCATTAAATCCATCACTGACTTGAAGTTTCTCACAGATGTTATTTGAGTTGTTAGGGGTTGGGTGTTTCTCATTTTGAATACATATTTTTGTTTATTTGTTGAATAAGTAACTAAACAGAATATGTGTAATTAAACCACTTTGTAATAAAAAACACAAGACATTGATCTTTTTTTTCACATGACTATATATGACTATATAATGCTTTTCCTTCACATCACTTTAAGGCATTATTTTTCCATAAGAATTAAGTGTTGGTGAATAAATCTCAAAATGTCATCCTTTTCATGTTTTATACATCTTAAGTGTTTTCTGTGTGTGTGTGTGTGTGTGTGTGTGTGTGTGTGTGTGTGTGTGTGTGTATAAATGCTTGCTATGTCGCACAAAGCAGACCCAAGCTAAATCACACTAGAAAAGGCCACATCAACAAGAGCATACATCACTTTAGCTTTATGCTCCATGTCTATAAATGCTTGCATATCTTTTCATATGAATATTTCAAAGGGTGGAAACTAATAAATGGAGGCTGATTGATGCCATTTTATCTCTTGTTGGGTTTTATTAGCTTTGTGTCAGCTCCTCTGTGGGTTGTTTAAAAGAAACCAATAGTTGTTGGAACTAAAGAAAAGCTCCTATTGACTTTCTCTAATCAAATCATCACAATAATTTATGATAAATCTACTACTTGTAGATTTTCAGTGGATTGTTGAATTTGATGCATGTACTCATGAGGTAAATTTTAGTTCAGTTTTTAAAAATTGATGCATTATTTTGTTCTTTTTGATGGTGGTAGCAGTGTAAGGGGAATTGTTGAAGAAGTGCTTGCTTGCACTTCCTTACAGAAGTCTTCACATCCCTTGAACTTTTCCACTTCTGGTCATGTTGCAGCCACAAACCTCAATGTGTTTCATTTGGATTTTCTTTGATAGACCAACACATAATATTGCATAAATATAAAGTGAAATGAAATTAAATGTGGTTTTCAAATATATAAATCTAGAAAGTGTGGTGTGCCTCTGTATTGTGAGCCTTTTACTCTAATTTCCCTTAATATAACCCACTGCAACCAGCTGCCCCCAGAAGTAACCCATAGCAACCAGGGGGTAATTTAATCTCAGTATATATCCAGTTGTTGTATGAAGTCTAAAGCAGGTTTTGCTTATTTAACTATGTGGGACATGTGCAGAGATTATTCAGAAACACACAGTTTAAATGAGGTTTCACATTTCCAAAGCTCAGTGGAATAACATGAACACGTGAGGAGGAAGTGTTCAGAGGGTGGTTCCTTTTAACACTCCTTCAGCCTGTGTGGCATCTGTCTTTGGGCGTCACAGACACTGAAACACTCCTCAATCATAGATGCAGTCTAATCTCGTGGTTATTAAACAGTCAGTGGACATGTAGGAAGGCTGAGATGGGAGGACTGGACTTGAAGACCTGCCCCAACCAATTCTCATCCAGATATCGGATGTGCGGTCACAATCTGTTGTGGGTAAGGGAGGGAAGGTGTTTTCCGGGGAAATTGACTTAATCAGACACATGGAACGCAAGAGCAGGGAAAAGGTTCAGTGGATTTCTACTGCCAAACACGGTTGACGTTCTGGTAGGGTTGGAGGAACTCGGGAGGGATTAAATAGTGGAGAGTACAGGTAAAATGGAGAGACAGAGGATGAGGCATGGCTGAATAAAACTGATTAGAGATTAAAGCTCGATGCTGTCATGTGTGTTGACACTTGGGTAGTGAACCATTTGGTTCCTCGTCAGTAGAGGCGACCTTATGAGGAAGTGGAAACTCGAGGTTGGTGAAAAAGCACAACACAAACGCGCCAACAGCCCACAGTCAAGACATAATTCCAATGTTTGGACGTCTTACTTGTCAGTGTTTAGTCCACCATCTAAAAATAAAAAATCTGGCATTTAGCAAACACTACCAAGACATTATCATCTTAGTAGTGTTTACCGAGTCCTTTACCATACAAAGTCTCTCACTATTCTAGTTGTTCCTGGGAGGCAAATCATCCACACTGTTGATCTCCTTTTGGTCCCTTGTTCATGATTTCACCCAGTTTTATCTTTATCTGCCATGTGCCTGATAGTATTATTGTCACTGTTGGCATTTCCCAGTCAGCTGGACGTTGGCAGAAACCGGTCGAGGACATGGAGGTTACATCATATGGCCTTGAGTAACAGTACAGCAGACTAGGGAGTATAAATCAGGCCTTTACCAGAGAAGCAACCAAGAGTCCCATAGTAACTCTGGAGGAGCTGCGGAGATCCACAGCCCAGAAAATCTATCAATTAGATAACTTATCATTTTTGCACCCAAATACAAAACTCTTCAAGAGGTATAACTACTTCTACATCACTGATCATTCTCCCGATAATGTATCTAAAAGGAACATTTCCCTGAAATCACCTCAGCAAATTTTTTCACTTGCAGAGAAAAAAAAATGTCCAAGATGTTGCTTTCCCCCGAAAAAGAAGAAAAAAAAAATCTGTTAATTAGCGTAACCAGGTTTCTTTGTCAAAAAACGTTAAGCAATCTGTCGACAGGATGTTGAACTTGAGGGGATTTTCCGTATCACTGCTGGAGCTGCTGGCCCGTTACAGGAAGTGGAGCAGGTATGGGAAATGAAATGCGAGTAGGGTTTATAAAAGATGAGATGGCTCATCAAATGATGGGTTAAACAGTTTTTTTGTTGTTTTTTTTTCACGGCGCTATTTGTGGCCTACGGCTTTGCACAGCACACTCACACTGACAGACGAGCATGGAGACGCTGCTTTTTCTATTTCCTCAATTTAACTACATGGCCCCGAAGGAGGAAGCATATTTCAGAATGTTTGCTGTAGAGGACTTGCAGTCACCAGCAATGAAGGACGACAGCAGCAGGTTGGTGTCTGAACTCCACTCCTTTTCAGTCATCTAAAGACTAATTTAGAGCAGATTTACTGAAGATGTTTATTAATATACCTGTGGAACTGAATCTGCAAGGCAGCAGATTGATTTTAATCAACACTACCACTTTTACAGCTTTAAGTCGTTCCCAGCGAGCCTCTCTGCTTTTTATTAAGACTTGTCAGCTAACCTGACTTATCTTTTAGGTCATTCTTTACCACAAGCAAGCGGTGTAATTAATTGTGTGTCATGTCAACCACCGCACAATGTGTCAGAGAGGAAAAGTCTGTAATAAGTTGCTGATTTGCTAAATAGTGCCACAAGTGCGGCGCCGAGTGTTTTGGAGCTTGATGTATTTTCTGCCTTGTTTTGCAGACAGAAAGACAAAGAGAGGAAGAGCCGACTAAGCCTTTTTCTCACCAAGTCGGGCTCCCATGAAAACGTCAGTCCCCATAAAAAGACAAACACGACAACGAGCAAGTGAGGCACAATTCATTATTTTCACGTTACAGTCGCTATTATGCCAGGCGACCGTGATTCATTTTTAACTTCCCCGAGTTTCCAGTGGGCCCTGCGTCGACTCATTAGGCGGCATGCAGAAAACCTGGCGAGGAGACGGCTCTCTGAGAATCCCCACAAAAACATTGCTCGCCGCATCATTAGGGAGGATCTGACCGTTTGTCTGACTCTTTTGTCCTGTCTTTTTTTTTATTTTTTATCTGCAGCATCTCACCAGAGGCAGCCTTGCAGTGGAGCGACTCCTTTGAAGAGCTGCTGAAGCACACAGGTCAGTCCGAGCCTCGGAAACTTTCACGGCAGCGCTCGTTTAAATTGCTGTCCGAACCAGTCGATTCGACTGTCAGACGCTTTTGCTTTATATGGGCTCAAAACTGGAACGGAGCGCTCGCAGCAATAAATAGACAATGGAGATGACAGCGGGAGTTTCACTACATCTTTTAATGTTTTGTCAGAACAGACAGCAATACAGAAACTGTGCAACTTCCTCCTAATCACAGAAGTAACACTTTAGGGCCACACTGAAACCCTGTGTGCTGTTTTGGAAACATTTTTAAAGATGCCTTTATAGTTACTTGTAAACCTGCTGTGTATATTTTTTATGTTTTTTACTGAAATTATTTCCGTACATGGGGCTGGTGGTGGTAAATACCAAGGTTTTAACAAGTTCCAGTTTGAAATCGGTAGTTTACCATCATACCAGCAACAAAAATCACATATGATGAAAGGTATTAATGTTCAGAACATAAATATCAACATGGAAAATGTTTTCTAGAGATTGTTGAAGGAAAATCACAGTTAATGCTTACTTACCACAGACCAACTAAAAGCTAAGGAAATTAGATAAACTCCTGATGAATTCTAATCCTGGTAGACCTACTTTCCACTAGTCACTAATTGCTGATGACATAGTCAAAAGATGGTGCTATTTTCTATAAGAATTAAAGTTGGAGTATGTAACTTTTATACAAAAAACCTGTTTTACGTATTAAAACTGTCACTGTGTCGTGATGGTTTAGTATGAGACAGATAATCTGAAAAAAATCAACCGTCTCCCACTGTTCCCTTATATGAATGCTAATGCTAATTAGCACAGCTTACCAATGACTGTGGGTAAATAGTTTTCCTGGAACGGTGAGTTGTTCTGCTGCCATTAGCACATTGAGCAGCGCACACACTAGTTGATTGACAGCATTAAGACCCTCCTCCTGGATCTGATGGATTGTTTCTGCAGATGGCAGTAGTAGTTAAGGCAGGAGGAAGAGGAGAGACATCTTTTCACAGATTATCTGTCTCGTCACGTACCATCAGGACAAGGTGACAGTTTCACAAATACGTGACAAAGGATGGAAAACATGACATAACACATATGAACATGAAGGAGTCTTCATGATTCTTTATGACTGTTGTCCTGAAGAGTTATTCGGTAAATAATGACACTTTTAATGCAAAGTTGACACTTAATGGACTTTTAATGCAACTTTTAGTACAACTTTGCATTAAAAGCGTCATTATTTACCAGTCTTATTCAACTTATTTTAAATCAGAATGGGGAAAAACAGGTTAAGGATTAAATTTCAGAGAGAACAAATTTAAGAATCCACCAGCATTTACATCAGAATCTACTCAGGATTATGAGGAAGCCGTGTCATTTCTATTGCTCACAGAACAGGCCATGTTCTCTTACACCAGTATCTTTAGCTTGCAGACAGCTGTGAACACCGAAGAGTTCATTGTTGGTCAAAGAGGTCACTTTTAAACAGGAAGTAACGCTGATCTCTTTTAGTCAGAGTTGGGAAGTTTGGACTTTCTGTCATGCTAACATGCCAATATGATAAAACGACCAATACAGTATTTGACAGAATTTCCCCCAAATTATAGAAAAGTTGATCGACAGTCCCTGTATGTCCAGTACTAGAACATCTCTTTCTTTACCACATGTTGTTCCAACAGTTTGTGTTTCTGTTTTTTCAGATGGGGTGGAAACCTTCTCTCAGTTCCTCAGGACGGAGTTCAGCGAGGAAAACATCGAGTTCTGGTTGGCCTGCGAAGAATTCAAGACCATCGATTCAGAAACCAAGCGGCTGTCCAAAGCCAAATATATTTATACCGTTTATATAGAATCGGAGTCTCCTAAAGAGGTACGGTGGTGGCATCTTTATGTTCTCCAGAACTGCGTAGATTTAATGGCGCAGAGCTGTGAACGCGCCAGTGACATTTAACATTTTCTTAGCTTATCTGTCACTGAGGCTATTTGAGATGAAATATTTATGTCACCGTTATAAAAATAACAGTGGGCGAGGACTAACACACTCCATAGTCATGAGCCTGCGGCGAGCTGACCTTTGTGAACAATCATTAGCTGCAGCAGCTTACTGAGGTCATGTGCATGCATGCTGCAAAAAGCAGGCCGAGTTATTTCTGTGTGAGACGGTTGCGGTTTTCAGACAATTTGCGCTTGATGATGCGACCACCATCTGATGCGCCATTCAAAGCCTGAAGCAGTTCAGGCTGCTGAGGAGTCTGCTTGTCTGGTTTGAGGTTTTGAACTGTCTTTGCAAGGCTAAAGAGAGCATCTCCCACACACTTTCAGTCTAGAATGAGCACACATTTAAGAGGGTGAAAGGCTTTTTTTTTTCTTCTTCTTCTTCTTTTTTAGCATGGCAGCTTGGCTACCGTGAGCATTGTAGTTCCTGTTGTGGACGGTTTGTTTGCAGAAGAGATAAACTTCTACACCAGCATGCAGGATAATAATGCAAGATATGACGAGTGCATTTCACAAAGGGCATGTCTGAAATCATAAAAATGTACCAACGCTCTTCCTCGAGCAAATGTGGGACTTCCCCTGTCTTTCTTTGGGGAACCTTTCTCAGCCCTTTATCTGTTGATATTTTCCAAATTGTGAATCACAGAAATAACTTTCTGATGCTTTTACTACTCCTCACAGAGTTATTATTAGTAGGGCTGCAGCTCACGATTCTTTTAGTAATTCACTATTCTGACCATAAATAATCATTGGTACACTGCAGATTTTTCTTTTAACCATTTAAGCTTATTTTATACAGACAAAGAAGGGTTATTTAATCAAAAATGCAAAATGTATATATTTTTTGTACAGATTCGGCTCTTTGACTGCTCTGAGTATGTTGCTATTTTCTCAAATTGCATGTTTTGGAGTCTATAATCTAATTAGCGCTTAGTAAATTAGTTGACAATTATTAGAATCACAATTAATCCCATTAATTGTTTCGACCCTGATTCATAGCTGGCATTCATTGTTAGGACTTTGTGTGATTGGCCAATTCAAAGTACTGCAAAGTTAGGAAGTGTCAGTAAAATTACACATTATTTAAAATCTTTTTCTTTTTCTTTTTTTTTTTTTTTTTACAAATATAATATGGTCTCTATGCTATGGTGGGAGCAGGGAAGCCATAAGAAGTTTGCAGTTTGCATCAAGCTGTGTAGGAGACACAGCGACCACATGAGGCAATCTCCACTGGTTGGGTCAGACCTGAATGTCTGTCTGGCCTTCAAGCAAAGACTTCACACCGCAATGACACGCACCAACCCCACCGTTAGGAATGGCTGAATCAAAGGTCCAGTTCTGAATCAAGTTTGAGAATCTGCGGCAAAACCAGAAAACAGATCTTCACTCACTGAGTTTAAGTCATTTGGCAAAAAAAAATTCCAGATTCTACACATGGAAGGCTGGTAGTGAGTCCAAACGACCTGCAGCTGTAATTACAGTAAAATCTGATTGGTTGGTTATAAATGTATGCCCACTTTTACAAATTTTATTGTGAAACTTCTCAAATATGCACTACTTTTTGTTGGCCATAACCCATAAAATAGGAAGTTTGAGGTTATAATATGACAAACCTGATAAGTTCGAGGGCTGTCGATTGTTTTGCAAGCTACTCTAAATCTTGACCAACAAAGCTAAAATCATTCACGTCACTCTGCTGGATATTTGTTTTTAATGCCCTGCCTACAAGCCGTGTCTCCTGTTCTAACTGGTTATACTTGATGTTTGACTTTGCTTTAACTCAGGTCAACATCGACTACAACACAAAGATGGTCATCCAGAAAAATATGGAGCACCCAACGCGGGGCTGCTTTGACGCAGCCCAGATGAAAGTCTTCAGCCTGATGAAAAAGGACTCCTACCCAAGGTTCCTGCACTCTGACATTTACATGCGCATCACTCGGAGGAAGGGCCCCGGAGCCACCATGTTCCGCAGAAGGTCACGCTCCTGCGTGTTTAACGAGCGGGGGGAAGCCAAAACTGAGCCCTCAGCTTGGTAATCGCAAACGTTGCACAGCTGTGTGGAATGGATTCGCCATCATCCGGGGGACCGTCTCTGATTTGCAACACAACTGTTGAGACACGATGTGGTGTCTTAATTTAGGCCCCACAGGTTCTGTTATGTAGAGTGCAATATTTTTGTGTAACCACAGATTTCACAATGGATGACTTCTCAGACGCAGCACCACAGTGAATTGACATTAATAGTAATTTAAATGTACAATTTGGGAAATATTTCCTTCCATTAGTTTTTGTAAGATTTCCATCTTTCTTTCAGCTTGGTAAATTTCATCCCATGGTTCCCTCGTTTTACCTTAGAAACGGCTAACAGGGAAGGACAGAAACTGTTGTTAGTTTAATTTAGCTATCTTTATTTTCCTGACTGTTTATGTTTCGTTTTTTTATTTGCCTTGGAAGTCAGAGCCTGGATCTGGATTAATAATCATCTCTGAACCTTGCTGGGTTCCAGTCACAGTTTTATAAAAACCACTATGGTTTGCTCTCTGTTGTGCTACATTACCATGCTAATAACTATTAGCCTCCCAAGCTGATAATGATGGTATTCCTCAGAGGTTTATCCATCCAAACACCGTAGCAATGTCATCATTAGAATTAATTTATTAACTTTATGAAACAAACGTTAGCATAGCATGGCTGCCATATTGGATTTTCAGGCCAGAGTGTGTGAGAAACGTCTGACCTTTCTAGATGGAATTCTGACTTTATGAAGGAAGTAATTTCCTCTAATATTAAAGTTGGATATTGTGACTTATGCAATTTCAGTTTGTGAATTAAAAAGGTAAAGCGATGAATTAAAGTAATGGGTTTTTTGAGACCTGCCATGTTTTTGTATGCCTGCTACCCATTTGTTTCCTAGCAACTTAAAGCCAGCACAGACAGCTGTATTTTAGTTTTATTTTTTTTGCTTTCCCACGGTGTTTTTCGCTAAGCTAGGGGTAACTTCATGCAGACACGAGCTTGTTAACAACGTTGTCGTTTCACGCTTGCCTTGAAAACGAAAGGGCATTATTACCAGAAATGTGGATGTACGTATTCTGATTATTCACTTAGCAACAACAGCCCGAATCCATCCTGGGAGGTTATTTAGCAGCGGTAACATTTTCTGCTCCATCGGCTAAAATATTCTGAGCCCAGAAAGGGGATTGCTCCGCTGGATGCTTCGTGGATGCGGTTGCCTTTGTGATGCACTGAATCACAGCAGCCTTCAGTGAGGATTTTCTTTAAGACTTTCTTAAACCTTCCTAAACTTGAATGAAAGTGGAAACAGTTGAGGAAGGGATGCAGTTAAAGTGCTTGTTGAGGCAGGTCCTCCCTCTGTACAGCCACGGTATGTTACAGATTCATAGTTATCCTTAAGTTTTCATTAAAACTGATGATTTGTGTCTCTTGCACTGTCGACCCCCCCAACCCCCCATGTGAATAACAACCAGTGAAAGCCTGAGGTCGTATTGACTGAGAAGCACCTAACGGTTTTCTTAACATTCGATTAGATCATACATGTCTGCTTGTCGTGATCAGATTCCCTTCTCACACACACCGTGTCTTCTCTGAATACTAATATTATGTCACATTAAGATTGACGTTTTTTCAGTTGCCATCTAATATAATTTATGTATTACTTGATCTCCTTTGGTATTCAACTGCTGTAAAATGTACATACTCTATGTGGACAACATCAAATAAAAAAACTTTCCTGTAAAATCTGTTAATGAGGCCATAAATGACATTAATTGCTTTGAATGAGCGCATAAACAGGACAAATAGAGCTGTAATGTGCACATATTAAGCCGGTGGGAAACACCGGTTGCATGTAGCTCCCTATGCTAAATCACTGAAAAATTAATGACCCATATCAGCTCTAACCACTCTGGTGAGGAATTATTTATGTTACTGTATACGAACGGGGCGAGCTGTGCTTCTCGCAAATGGAAGTAAGTATCAACCCAGACGTGCCTCTGCAGAACATCTGCATATTTCCAACACGCCGAGATTATGTATGGACAGCATCGGGGTTCGCCTCATTTGCGCTGAGGTTTCTAGTAGCCTTCACAAGGTGGAAGTCCTTCGGAGAACATGTTAGTGTCAATCTCCTCGAAATCTGTGCAGAATATCTGAAAAATTCACATTATTTATTCATCCCACTGGAAGATGGCAGCACATGCGCTGGGCTTCGGCAGGGTGAAGGTGTGGGTGGCGCTGGGGTCATGATTTCCTCTAATTGCCTGCTAGCATTAGCAAACATGGATCCAAAAGTTTCCCTGTCAAACAAGTCACAACTGAAGAACAACTCCTCTTAAAGGGATAGCACCGGTGGAAGAAATCTCCCAACGGCGTCTTCATGTAATTGAAATCCAGAAGAGTTGTTCTGAGAAGAGCTAATGGCAAAGCAGACTTATGCCACCTTTAAATGAAAGCTGTGCTGAGGTTGGAACATTTAAAACATTTCCTCTGAGCTACTAATAGAAAGTAAAGCAGTCTGGAAGGAGGTAGCGTAAAAACATTTACGCTACTTTACCACAGTGATCATAATGTCTGTTCTGTGTCTAAATGGTGCAGAAAAGTGTAGGTTAAAATTGGATTTTATATACATATATCTACATATATGTTTGTTTGGGGGGTTTTTTTTCAGCTTTTTTAGTGTCATTAAAGGTAAAAATGTAAACCTGTTTCATTCTTGAGAGAAAGAACCATAAAAATAAGAGCAGAAAGAGCCGGGCTGAAACTTGAACCTGTGATCACCGCCACAAGGAGGGCCACGGTTCTCCATACATGGGTCGTGTTTTGCCCCTGCGCCACCACAGCACCCCATTCTGCTGTTATTTTGGATGATATTCAGGCCCCTTTGTGGCATTTCTGAATTTCTAATTGTCTAATTTTAGGCCCCAGTCCGACCAGGCAGTTTGAATCTAAACTGAAGACTGCATACACTTAACACTGACTCACTGGAGTGAAGTGCGTGAGTTAGCCTCAATGTCATTATTAGGTCTAATGCTCAGTAGGAGTTTTTATATCCTCTAGTTAATAGTTACCCTGAGTGGCACGCTTGACATTTATTAATCTAAGTAGCTGTTTCACTCAGGAAGATCACTGGTGGCGCACAGGGCCAACCTCACTTTCTCATTCAAGTCATCATCGGCTTGTTTTTAAATACCAGTTTAAACCTGACACGGGTTTAAAGATGAATTAAAAGCAACTTCCACACAAACCACTCTGATGCTGTTGTGATTGGACTCGCTCTAAGATGATGAAGTCCGCTTTGGTCTTTGCCCCTCTCGGATTAGCCTATAGCTTAAGGCTCCATGGCCAACCACTCTGGATTTGTATCAAAGAGACTTATCCATTTCAGGTAACGTTTTTTCTTACAACCTTTTAATAGAACTTTACTTCAAAAGTCCTAAACTACTTACGAGGCAGAAATCAGTTTGACTGAAGAAATAAACGTGAAAATGGAGATAAATGCTAGTATGAGGAGACCTAAAAGCAAAATAACTTGTTTAAAGATTGGCTTTTTCAAGCTTTACATGATGTTATAATGTTATTCCCTCATTAGAAACGTACCTGGAATGTTGCCTTGATTCTTTCTATGTATGTTTGAGAAATCCTCGAATCTCCCATGGCAACCATTCAGCTGTGGAAAATTCCTGGTTGGACTTAGCACCGCCTTCGGTTTCCAAGTTTCTGAGCTTCCGCCTCACAGAGCACGACTCCCCCACTCAGTTCCTTCAGACTAGCCAGCAGCAATTAGCAACACCTGGTGGATAAGCTGAACTCATTATGCTAGCTACTTCTCAGTATAACATTGGTAAAAACGTTGTTAAAGGGTTAATAGAGAAATATTGTGATGACTTCCTGAAGGCAGAGTTTCAGGAAGAGCAGGGGCTTCTTAAAGAGACAGAGGCCCAATTTCAAGGAGTTAAATTACAAAATCAAATTTCTTTAACTGAAGTTAACATAGTTACTTGATTGTGCTATAAAATGCCCCTATGTGCCAGGGAAATATATAGTAGTGACCCTTTAAAGTATCCAAATAGCAAGCTTAGCTCATAATTTCTCAAATACATGAACTAAAAGATTCTAATTCCACTCTAAGATAATCAGGAGTGTTGTGTCCCCGGGCTAAATACTCCGCAAGCTTTACGCAGGTTGATCACATCTCAGAAGCTCTATCATCTGACCCCATGTGAGACAAATCTAGAGATTATTTGACTGCCAGACTCAGATATCGAGCCGTGAAATCCACCCCCTTGAAAATCTGTTTTCGCTCGACGCCCGCAACCATATTGACGAACCTGGATAAATCTCAGAGCAACTGCAGACACAAGGCCACATTAAGTTTTGAAAGACTCAAGGTGAGTACCTCCTCCCCTTCCAACGCAATGAAGCGCTCACCGAAGCAGCACAAACGTATTCAGAGGATGCAGTTAAAAAGCCAACACAACGCCAAGTTCCCTCCACTTCCTAAAGTGTGTGAATGTTGTACCAAGAACAGGTGGCAGGTTTCTCTTTCAGCCAGCTGCACACTAAATATCAGGATTCTGAGAGGCTGCCAGCAGCATGAGATCTGTAGAGCTGTGCTGGAAATGAATCATTATTAAAAGGATTTTTTTTCTTCTTTTTTTTCACCGCCATTTTCCTCATCTCCTTATCCCATCAAAGTAAACAGAAGCCGTGCAAAATTGTATAGAAAGATTAAAAACAAATGCTTACTGGATTACTTTCAAGGCTTTCTAAATGTGTGTATGTTTTTTTAAAGGTCTTTTTTGGCTCTCTAGGCTTTTATTTAACTGTGGTCAGACAGGAAGTGGGTTATGAAAGAGGGGGTTAGATACGGAACAAGGACACCGGAATCGAACCTCTGACGGCCACGGCGAGAACGAAGGCATCCGTATATGGGTCTCTTCCCCTGCGTCACGCAGCGCCCGGTTCTTTTTTTTTTTCTTCTTCTTCTTCTTCTTCTTTTTTTTTCTCGTTTTGTTGCCTCCTCCTCTCCACCTTCAACCTCCATCCTGCTGCCTGTAGCCTCAGTGGAGGAATCAAAAAGCCGTTCAGGTTCAAATGAATAAGCCCAGCAAGACCAACAACAAAGGGAGAGTCTGACGAATCCAGGGCTGTTGTAATTACACAACATAATGGAGTTTAGAGAAGCGGAGAGAGAGAAGAGCTGCGGAGGACTACAGTGCCACCGTGTGTACGGTGAAGGTAGTGCAGCCCTTTCTAATGAAACTATGAAAACAAATTAGGTGCTCTTTAACAAAATGTGCCTTTTTAGATAGTTGGGAAGCACTCTGCTATCTGTAACCTCTAATGGAGGTGGGAGGGGAACAGTACGCTTTGAAATGACCAAAATAAAAAAAAGAAGAAAAAGGCTTAATCTGGACAAGAACATCACAGTCGCTCTGCAGTGGCTGCGCGCACCCGGTCATCCTTTTTTGAAAAACAAATTCCTCGACTTGCTGCTTCTCCTCACATGCAAATGGGGGTTAGCCTGGGTGTTTTCCATCATCTGCTGCGATTTACATTCTGGTTCTGTCACATTTCAGCCAATGGTCAAGAAGGTCAGCGAAGGCGGGGGGAAGAGAGAGAGAGAAAAAACAGGCACTATTTGTATGTGTAGTGTGTGTGTGTGTGTGCGTGTGCGTGTGTGTGTGTACAACCAGCAAACCCAGAGGAGAAGTGAACACTCATATATAGCCAATGATCTGTTATGCTAATGTCTGCTGCAGCAAACGACACTGCAACTGTCTGTGGCTCCGGAGAGAAAAAAGAGAGAGACTCAGATATTCTTAAAATCATGTTAGAAACAGTGGAAATGCACTGAGACGTATAGCTTACACATGCTAAAGCTGAGGCTAATAGAACTGAAACAAAAGCTTCATATAGAGGCGATATGGATTCTGCTGCGTTACCCGCCTCCTGGGGAATGCTGAATCAAACTATGAACATGTGGGCTGGAAAAAACATTTAATTGTTTCATTTCACTCTTTGTTTAAAATGCTTCAGCTGCTCTGTACAGAAAGCCAATAAGCCAATTAACCGTGTTTCTGTCAAGCTCATGATTGTTTGGTTTGGTCGGATGCTTAGCGTTCATTTAAAAATTTGAGAAACATTCTGGACCTTCAGAAGTGAGATTTTAGAAACTTTGAATGCCTGATGATTAGTTAATTCGCCTGTGGTAGACCGGTGTCTGGTCACTGTGAGTTTGCAGAAAAGTGAAGATGTTTCTGAGTTTTAGCTGCTTAAAACATAAGCTGAAAATGTTCCTAATTGGCAGATATTCCTAATCAGCTGTGACTCATCAGTCCACTTTAAGTCCAACGAGAGTGGAGTAAGCTTCTTAGATTTTGAGACAGGTGCAGGAGATGGTTTGTTTGTGTTTTCTCTTTTTTAAGGGATTTATAGGAAATTTATTTGGTGAGTTGGACTGGTGGCTCACACTAATCAAGAACTACTACAAAGTTCAGTTCACACACCATTAACACTGAACTATGTATGCTCATAGCTCACCTCAAGTATGGATTAGTTCTCATTTACTTGTCGATCTCTTTGTGACAGCATGGTTTAGCATTATTCGGACTCGGAGAATATGGAACCTGGTTGTGTGAGCACATTTCTTTAGTTCTTTTCTGGTTTTACTGGCACTAGTTACATCTATGTGATTGGTCACATAGGAAGGTGGGTAACAAGAGAGAGGGAAGGCATGTAGCAAAGGTCATCAGGCTGGGAATCGAACCTGTGACAGTTGAATCAAGGACTGTGGTTTCACCTCTGCTGCGCTGCAGCGTCACACCTCTTTAATTCTCTGTTGTTCTCTTTGTGTTTGTCTCTACTGAGTATCAGGGCCATGCTGGGAACTGATAGTCATGTTACGAGAATAAACTTATATGGGAATAGCTATGAGAATAAAGTCGTACGAGATTAAAAGTCGAAATAATTCGTTGTCATAATATTTCACAAAGTCATAGTATTATGAAAACTGTCGTATTGCGAGTTGTAACGAAGCAAAATGTAATGTTTCAGTTGTTAGCTGTGTGTTCTATGACTTTGTGTTTTTATGATGTAAAGCACTTTGAAATGCCTTGTTGCTCAAATAAAATTTGATTGATTGATTTGGTAATAATATAAGAACAGAGTCATAGTATTAAAATATTTTAAAAAATCGTCATGTTATGAGAATAGTCATAGTATGTCGCTAATAGTCATATTGTTATGAAAACAGTCATAATACAAGAATAACATCATAATATTTCGAGAATAAAGCAACATTATTACAGAAATAGTCATAACCCGAGAATAAAGTCAAAATAATATGAGAACAGTTTTCATATCATGACTTTGTCATTCCACTTATTTATTTATTTATTTATTTATTTTTAATTAAAATGGCCCTGATACTCAGTCATACTACACAAACTGTAGTTTGCATAATTTCATGCTTCAGTTGTCAGGAACCAACACAGAGTTGAAATCTGGAACATCAAGACCAAATATTTAAACTTCTACGATGCTGACGTTCCTTTTTGACCCCGACTCTGTTCAAACATCAGCTACGTTAAAGACAAAATCTAATCTTGGCTATATTTAACTCTGCAAATGTCAAAGAGTGAAGTTAGAAGTGGCAAAATTCATTAAGCTGTGAATCATTCCCTTGTTTGTTTTGCCTACACCTGCAAAGCCTCACGTCTCACTTCCTGCCTGCATGAGACTCCCACCATGTCTCAGAAACAGAAGGTAATGACCTTTCCTCTGATATTGTTGCATTTGAAGCAAAAAAAAAAAAAATGTATTAGAGTCCAGCTTAAAGCAGAGAGAGACCAGGCTCCACTAGAAACAGAATGTGTTCAACACCTTGAACACACTCACACACCTGCACGCGTATGTACTCACAAAAGCACAGCAGTCACCATGGCCTTACCTTTGAAGGTAAATGTCACGACCCACGCTGAATAAAGACGCTAAAGTCTGTCCCAAAAGTTTCTCAGTTCGCCACTTTATTTCCTCTCTAATGGAATGTAATAAGCAGGAGGAGCTGTGGGAGATTCTTCATGTAAAAACAAAACCGCATTGCTAAATTCAAAGTTCAACATAAAGTTACATTTTCCTGTGTAGACGTTACCAAACTTCCTAAATGTCTCTTGCAAAAGTAAAGACATTTCATATCCAATAACATAGTGTCATCCTACTGATATAAACGGTTTTGGTTGGAGTTATCATAAATTGCTAATATCGACTAAAACACAGGCGGTTAGCTTTCTGCTAACGCTAAGGCACCTATTACCAGGAATAGCTTTACAGAACCTCAACAGAAAAAAATCCAAACCAAACATTTACAGTCTGGGTTGACTGAAGCTTTAAGACGTTAACGCTTCTCCATTTTATCTCTTTTCCTCCACAGCCAACCTAGGAAGGAAGAAACATGTTGAATGAATCACTCCTACAAATTTACTCAACTCTCTTACTATTCCTCCACCCAGCCTGACTTCCTTCATACATCTCAACAAAAATCTCTACAGACCAGTCAGATAACTTCATGTTATGGAGGTGAACTTGTCAGCAGACCATAAAACAAGGACAGGTGTCGTTGTTGTCGTTGCCTTCTTACTTCAGCAACGCTTTGCCTGAAGCTGAAGGAACGGTTTTCCGACTGATCAAGAACTTCATGCTGAGATGTCTGACTGCATTGAAGAAAGTTTCAAACGCCCATCAGGGTTCATCATCACCTTTCAGTCTTCTTACTGAACATGTATGCTGCAGGACTGCTTACATAATGAGGACGATGCACAAGAGCTGAATGTATTCGGACAGGAGCAGGACTCCTGCAAAGCTCCTGGCGACTGAAAAAAAAATGGTGAATGGAGGAAATTCTCCTGAACACATTTCTTGTGTATTGCTACTGAGTTTGAATCCTTTTCGTTCCATAATCCTGGAATCACACACCAAATTCCACCATGTATTTGGCTCTTAATGAATCAAAGATGAAGCCAAACTGGAAAGGTTTCTGAAAAATTTAGTACAACCCAAAGTATAAAGTTGCGGTGAAGACGTTTGCATACTTTTTCAATAATTATGAAGGTGAACTTAATTTAGAACTATTTCCACATGCATAATTATGCAGCATACAGATTCAATTAAAGTTCCCTAATCGACAAAAGATCAAAATTATACAGACATTCACCTAAGTCTTTAAAGAGATCATCCTGACTGTTATCTCTTTAATAGCCAAGGCCAAAGACTCTTGACTTTATATAATAACTCATCATTGAATGCAGTTTGTATTTTTGTCTTTGGTACTCAAGAGAGTCACTTGTTCTCATACAGTTAAGAAACTTGTGGAAAGTAACAAAGCTACTCGGTCACATGTTGGCGAAAGTCATATGGCAGCGTTTCTTCACAGCTGCTGAGTTCACAATCAGCTGTTTGAAAGTACAACATTATTTGAAGGTTTGCCATTGTTTTGAAAAATGCCACATCAATGATTAGTGCAACTGTGACAATGTACAACTGCTCTCATTGTCAAATTAAATTCCCTCTGAGCAAAGATTTAATAAGGTTTGAGCTACTTGGCTGAAATGACACCTAAATAAAGTTAGCTCACCTCAAAGAAACAGTTAAATTGTTGAAACTTGGGCACAACAAGGTGTTCCAACATAACCATGATCCTATTCACACCAAACCTGATTTTTAATTGGATAAAACTGGCTAAACTTCTGACACTGTCTACTCAAAACCCGCCCAGGCCCAAACAATAGATAATTGTGGACGATGTTTAAAAATTTGGCCTGTAGCATAAAACTTGCAGAAGTTATGAACAAGAAACATTAACAGTGTAAGTATGAAGTTTTTGCGCAAACTGGAAGCATTTGCCCTCGCCATCATATAAAACATATGAAATGTTTATAGTTGTTCTTCATTGTACAGCTGAATGGTTTGATCCCTGAACTCTGAGATCTAAACCTGAAATGACAGGTGGCACATTAATTCATCGGTTCAAATGACGAAGTGAATATGTGAGGTTGATCTAAAAGTTTTTATACTGCATCTGGAAACATGAGTTATTAAGCAAGAGCAAGCGCAGCAAAGCAAAAGCACTTTAAACAGAATTATTCACGTGAAATGTGAGCCTGCTCTCCTGTAGTAAATGTGACTCTTTGCAGTCAGTCTTGCTCTTTTCAAACTCCACATATTCTCACACAAGTGTTTGGCTTTTTTTTTTTTACGCTCCCCGCCTTTCAGTCAGCGCGGAGGAGCCCCAGGAGCTTCGGTGATCTCTTTTATGCTCCAAACTTCTGTCACGGCGTGTGAAGGCGGATGATAAATCAGTGCATTTGGTGCTTTTGTCTCCTAAGTAACGCCGTGCGGATGCAAAAACTGCAGGCATAACGAGCTCTGTCCCTCATCGGCCAATTTGTTTACGGCCATTTGCGTACGGTCATGATCTTTTTACTCGGTGCTTCCTGATCGCTTGCTTGTTGTTTTAAGTAGGTTTGGTCTTTAAGCTCAAAAATCTTGAGCTCCACCACAGGAATACCGACAGTCAAGACTGAAATCTGACTGAATGCTTGTCGTCAAAGCCTTAAAGAACTTTGCTTGACCCCATCCTGACCTGAAACGCTGGAATTATCCAGTCGAGTCATGCAGTTATTCCTTATTAACACAACCACATGTGCATATTAGTGATAACCACCGCTGTGGCCCAACAGGTGAGGTCAGCCTAAATCACGGCTGAGCTCTCTCTTCCGCATGTTGTGGTAGGATGCCCTGGTTCTCCCAACAACAACACTTTGCATGCCCATTTCCATATATTCCATCCGCACTGGGTGGGGTGCGTCGACGGAGTGGGGGAGATTTAGATTTGCTCAGTCACTCGACTCCAATCATTTGTGAACGGTCACAGCCCCAACCTCAACCTGGCAGGACCTCGTCTCCGTCGCCCGTAGCAGAAGACGATGGAGATGGCGATAAAGTGAGTTTCTGCATGTATCTTTATTGGGCCTTTAGCACATTTCAGCAGGGAACTTCACACAGCAGCCATGTGGAAAACACCAAGGAGTTTTTCACTCACTGTAAGTCTCATTTTTTACTTTGGGGCATTAGTTAGCCTCACGTTGTGAAAATGCTTTCGCAGGATTTATCAGGATGTCGTAGATGTTTACACGTAGTGGTCACAGATAACTTGGCTAGTCATGGCTCTTGATGCTCTTTTCAAGGGTAGATTTTGTTGCTTTCCCAAGGATCCGCTGAACGATGTTGAGACTTGGAGCGAATCCGTGGATAAAGTCCTCGGTTGCAAAGGTGAGGATCTTCAAATTTTGCTCCTTGAGTTGTTGACAATGGATAACCAGAGGCAAAGTCAGAGACTTCAAACCTTCAAAGTACAAAACATCATTTGGTCAAGATATCTTCTCATTCGGAGGTCCTCATTCAACTCAGTTCAAAAGTACTACATGGATCCCAAAGGGAAATGTTGCTGCAACTCACCTTAACTCAAATTGTTCAAAGAGTTATAATGATGGCTGTTGGTAGGAAACATCTTTCGTAGAGTGATGGTTTGTACATCTGGAACAGTTCATACCCAGTAATAAAGACAGTAACAGATCTTAGAGTTTTTAATTCCCAGTTGAAACAATGGCTTAAACAAAACCAAGTTTGCGAACACTGATCAATACCAACCTACTTTGTTGTGGAGAGTTAGCTTTCTCTGATATGTATTTTCATGTTTTTCTTAAGTTCCAAAAATTTTACATATGTGTCTCTGTGTGTGTCTGACAGGAACCTTTAATTCTAATTCGCTGTCTTTTAATAAAGGCCCAATCAAGGACTGGGTTTGCAAATTAGCCTGTGGCTAGAAAACAACAATTGCTTTGTTTTTAACATGTAACATTGTTTAATATTCTGTCCCTGATGAAACGAATGTGAATTGAATTGAATTGAATTGACTTGACTTGACGTGACACAAATCTCCTGACCCCATGATTTCCAGCCGGACAGATTGCGTTCCGGGAGTTCCTGAAGTCGGAGTACAGTGAGGAGAACATCCTGTTTTGGCTCGCCTGCGAGGACTACAAGAAAATCAAAACGGTCCCAGAGATGATCTCATCCGCCAACAGGATCTACTCCGAGTTTGTCCACTCAGAAGCACCCAGACAGGTAAAAAAAAAAACAAAACAAACATGTCGGACTGAGTCGCTTCCATTCAGAACCCCGCCATTCTAACGACACTCTGGGTCATATTGTTCGATTCCAGATCAACATCGACTGCACTACCAGAGAAAACATCACAAAGAACATCTCCCAGCCGACTCTGACGTCTTTCGACACAGCGCAGAAGCTCGTCTACAGCCTGATGGCCAGGGATTGCTATCCACGCTTCCTAAAATCTGACATCTATCAGGGACTCCTGAGGAAAGCCGACTCCAGGTGACTGTTCCGATGGAAAAGGTCCCGTGAAAACCTCCTGCTGGGCTGCGATGCCGCGTGGATAACCGGTTTATCCCGCATCACCCCATCCTGGAGCATAGGGAATGTATCTTTACTTCTTCTCAGCCTGTGTGGTCCTGTAGTGAGTTGCAGCTCTAGAGAATGTACTGTTTATTTATGTTAAGACGAAGGTAATCCTGTAGGAAACTGTGCACATTCATCTTCCACAATGATCTATTTCTCTAGTCTATGACTACACAGAATCAGTTCCTTTATTCTAAAGTATTATCACAATTTTGATTGATTATGCAGAAAGAAATGCTGATTTGTTCTGCAGGCTTTTCTCTCCATTTTAATATGCAAACACAGTTGTATCTGTCTACTTTACCCTCTATTTAAAGTTTATTTCTGTTTGCAGCTTTAAAACATCTTACAAACTAAATCTGTTCAGCTTGGGTGTGGTCCTTCTGAGTATAATGCAAATGAACGTTAATGATTTGCAGGATGCAAAAAGGTCATTTGAACACCAGGTGGCAGCAAAGGTCTTGAAGTTAAAAAAAAGCCTCCACATTTCCTCTATGGAAGTCCAAAAGTGTCACAATTCGGATTTAGTCAGATAAGTTGAATAAATATTTTCACGGGTAAATTTAAAACCTTTAAAAACACACATTAATCAAATAAATACATGAATCAACAATTATTTAATGTTCTAATGTTTTATTCAATTCCTGGATGAATGTGTGAATAATTCTATAAGATTTTAATGCATTATTTGATTATTTATTTCATTACTTCATTATCTTATTTGTGAGAGACAAAAATCAGGATCAGTGGGAGGGGCAAACATTACTGTATTTTTATTATTGTGAAAGTTAACCAATCCAGATCTCAATTCAATTCAATAATCATAATATTTTTGATTATTTCAAGAAATATGAAACCATGAATAAGTGAAATGACTGTAAATACTTTTAAAGCACAATGAATTTACTCTTAAATTAACAATACTGATATGTCCTTATTTGGTAATTTATTGACCCATTTACATATTTGTTGTTTTGAATTTTTTTTAATCATATGTACTTATTTCAATTTGACTTATATATATATATATATATATATATATATATATATATATATAAGTATATATATATATATATATATATATATATATATATATATATATTTTTTTTTTTTTTTTTTTTTTTTTTTTTTTTTTTTTTGTGTTGCTTGTTTTTTTTTT